ACACACACACACACACACACACACACACACACACACACACACATTACATAATTGACACTGAACCAGTCAGAAGCAACATTTGTTGCAGTGAATGGTGTCTGGTTAAAATGCTTCACACTGATATTGTGCACACACAAAACACACACACAGGTTGTTATGAGGTTGAAGAGCATGACAGCTGTACATACCTCACTTCATAGTCCTCTGTCTCTTTCTATCTGTTCCTCAGCTCTTTTCTTCTCATCCTCCGGATCTCTCTCTCTCACACACACACTCTCACACACAGAGCAGTGTGTTTGAATCTGACAGATTTCAGCTCAATACTCTTCTCTCAGACGCACACACACACACACACACACACACACACATACACACTCACACACGCACACACACACACACACACACACACACACATACGCACAAACAGCCCTCCCCCTCCTCTTTCAAAATATGCCAAATAGCCTCTCCACTCACGCCAGAGCTGCGTCTCTCCTCCCCTTCCGTACGAGGCAGTGAGAAAGCCCAGGCACAGGCCACGCCCCCGCCCCGCTCTCTCCTCTGGGCGGCTATAAATACCGCTGCTGCTATGAATACACCATCCTTCTCCCTCAGCATCCACTCTCTCCCCCTGCATCCATCCATCCTTCTCTCGCCTGCCTTTCCTGCATCCCTGCTTTTCGCCTCTAAATCCGATGACCTTGTGTTGTCACACGACAGCATCCTTTCTTGTCACCAGTTTGCGTGCAAGATGCAAAACCTTAAAGGGAAGCATGAAGTAGTGAAACTAAAAACCCAGATATTATCACAGAAAACCGAACTCAGACGTGTGCGTTTCGTGCTGCCCTCGTAGGCTTCCTGTCTGTTGCACAGGATGTTCCTTTTTTCATCTCCTGATGGCTGTGAGGGAAAAAAAACACTGAGACAGACAGCAGCTTACACTGTACCTTACTCAAATTAACTTAACCTGCATTAGTATCTGTGAACCTGCTCAAAGAGGAGCCAATCAGCTTCTCATCCACCTGTTATTATGAAGCTGAGAAGAGCTAACAAGCATCTTTCATCCCTTCGCTCCATCGTTTTATCCACGTCGTGTCTGATGTGAAGTAGATTTATTGCTCTGCATGCAGTGAAGTAAACCTGCCGCGCTATCGGTTTGGCGTTTCGGTGTTTTCTGACTGCCTGTGAACAGCCAGCAGAGGATAGACTATACACTTTCAGTACAATAGGCATAAAAAAAAGGTTTGGCAGCATCCTGTTCGATATTGTCTAGAAAGGAGGTTACCAAGCATCTGCTGCAAGTGTTGTAATGTGCACCCAGAGTACAGTTAAACAGAATTAAATGCCTGCAGGCATATTAGGTATGTCATGGACATAATTAATCCTTGGGTTCAAGCTGTGCTGTAAGCTTCATACATGAAACATGAAAGCAGCTGAAAGACAAAGACTGGAAAAAAACAAAGTAAAAGTTCTGCTGATCATGCCCCTTTGATCCTGTCAGATACAAAGAAAACCACAACGTTGCCTGTGCAGCACCATTTAGGGTAAAACAAGCTGGCAACTTCAGCGTTCGTCTTCCCGTCTGTCGTTTTTAGCTTCTTGTTTTAAAAAGGCTGTTGCTATTACGAGTCAAACTTCCTGTTCAAATATTCTGAATGTAAACCTCTTTGTAATGTTAAAACGCTCAAAGATTTGACAGGGGAGTAATTATTGTGTGAATGCCGATTCAGCTTTCTGCATATTGTTTTCCCTAGGTTTCCTCCCTCCTCATGTTTGATTTTTTGAGCATGTGACTACGTCTGTGTCGTTTGTGCTATTTTAACCCTTCAAAAAAAAAAAAAGATCAAAATGCAGTCGGCGTTGTACATTTTTACACTTTAAAATCTCAAAATACAATGAGCTTTCTTCCAATCTTTTAAAACGTTGCACCCTTTGGAGCAATAAAAATGCTAATTCTGGTAAAGCTTATTTTAGAAAAAGCTCATGTTCAGCTAAATTTAGTTAGCTAATATGATAACTTTAGAGAGCCATTTGCTAATTTGAGATTTTGGCTGGCATTTTCCAATTTTGGCTAGTGTTTTACATTTTGAATTGAGCATTTCAAAACTGTGGGTGCCTCAGGGCTCTATACTCAGTCCCTCTTTATTATTATTTATACTTATGGTAACTAGACAGCATTTACCTATTTTTACCTAGTTTCACCGCATTTTATTGCTAGGGTTTCACAATTTTTTCTAGTGTTTTACGCTTTGAATCGAGCATTTTGAAACTGTGGGTACCTCAGGGCTCTATACTCGGCCCCTCTTTATTATTATTCATGCTTATGGTAACTAGTTAGCATTTACATATTTTTACCTAGTTTCACCACATTTTATTGCTAGGGTTTCACGATTTTTTCTAGTGTTTTACGCTTTGAATCGAGCATTTCGAAACTGGGTACCTCAGGGCTCTATACTCGGCCCCTCTTTATTATTATTCATGCTTATGGTAACTAGTTAGCATTTACATATTTTGCCAGGGTTTCACTACTTTTAGCTAGTGTTTTACATTTTGAATTGAGCATTTCAGAACTGTGGGTACCTCAGGGCTCTGTACTCGGTCCCTCTTTATTATTTTCATGCTTATGGTAACTAATTAGCATTTGCCTATTTTTACCTAGTTTCACCACATTTTATTGCCAGTGTTACATTACCTTTAGGTAGTGTTTTGCTTCAGGAAATTTCATCAAAACCATTCAGGAATAAGCACTCACTGCATTTATGCAGAAAATGTGGTTTCTCTTGAGGTCTACACCTTCAAAGAAATGAGTGACGAAAGTGGTGGATAAAAACAGGTTGATTTATTTCCATTTATAAGAAAAGAAACTCTGGCATTGCTCTGAAGCGTTGGATGCATAAAAAGCAGTTTTATGTCACCAGTTGTAATTTAGCAGGCTAATGGATATTTATGTATGTATGTATGCAAAGCTGAGGGTCAAACTATACGTGAGCGTGCCCGACAGTATGTGCTGCAGCAAGCGCAGGTGCGTTTTAAAGCCAATTCCCATGTGCCTCTGTCAGAGCAAAGGCTGCCTTCAGGTCCTTTGCAGACTTCGAATGGATCTTCAGAGAATTCCTGAGAGCGCTCCGCAACTCCCCTGCCGAGACCAGGTGGAGGCGCAGCAGAGAGTTAATGAGCTGAGAGCGAGCGTTGCCTATGAAGGAGTTTGAGAGGAAAAAGCCAAGGCCGCCTCCTCTTATTGTGCTGTAGAGAGGAACTCGGACCATCCCCATGACCTGGAGGGAGAGGACACAGGTGAAGCAGAGTGTCTGCTTATAGTCTGTTTAGATCAGGGATGGGCAACTTAAATGATAGAAGGGGCCACAATTTTTTGTTTGGCATTAACAGAGGGCCACATGGCACTGTGCACTTGCACAAATGTTTACCTTTTGACCTGAGCATTTCAGAACTGTTGGTACCTCAGGGCTCTATACTTGGTCCCTCTTAATCGCTATTCATGCTCATGGTTACTATTTGAATAATGTTTGTGTGTGTGTGTTTATATATATATATATATATATATATATATATATATATAAAATAAGCAACATATAGTGCAGTAACTTAGCATATTTCATGCTCAAATGCATGTATAACAGTTATTCTGTTTAATAAATATGAACACAAAATGTTTGAAGCAAAAATATAAATAATACTTTAAAAAGCTTAAGTGCAATGACAGAAGACGCCTTGATTGCAGACTTCTGTGTGGTTCTGGTAAAAAGTTGTTGTTATTTATGTACTTGCGACTTCAGTGAAGTTCTCATATTCAGCTTTGTGCAACGTGTTGTAGTGGCGAGTTGAAGTTACACAGCAATAAAAAAATAAAAAATGTTAAAAAGCCATTAAAAGCTCAAAATAATATGAGTGTTTCTAAACGTCTAACCTCGACCATTAATCGATAACCTCACCTCGAGACCGTGATCTGCTGCACTGGACACGCACGCTTTCTCCACCTCCTGAATCTGCTCCTCCTCCAACTTCTTCACATACAAATGAGTGATGAGACCGGCGCAGGGTTTGCCTGGGAGGGGAGGGGCAAATCGAGAGTCCATCAGGTCTTCCTCAGATACAGACACGGCCATGCCCAGCTCCTCCAACAGTTCCCTGTTAAGCCCCTCCTCCAGGGACTCCCCTGCGTCAACGAGCCTAACAAATGTCAGCATCAGGTGGAGGAGCAGACAAACACAGTCAGGTCTAACAACAGAGCACAATCACAACACAATCATTGTTTTAGATAGGCATATGATATTGCATCATGACGATCACAGGTTGGCTAGCAACATCCTATCATCATCATCAAAACAAATCAATACAAAGCTGCTGATTTACACAGAAAATATTTTTGCTTGGCTCCAATAGTTAATGTCAAGGTTTTAAAAACAGATTTCATGTGCTTGGAGTTTGTTTTGGGAATGATTCTCAGCTACTACCACACCAAATTTTAGCTCAGTGTCTTTAATGTTGACTGAGTTAAATCTTTTCTTGCTTGGCTGACCAATTAAAACCAATGAACGGAGTTCGCTCAGTGGATTGGAGCCATTTAAAAAATTATGAAATGGTGAGAATTACTTCAGTGAGTAAGGAAGGATTTATTAAGAATTGGGAGAAATGGAATAAATTCTTTCATATATACGGCAATATTTGTCTCTGAAACCAAGTATAATAAGGGTTTAAAATGAATTAAGTGAATGTAAAGATATGTTTTATTTTAATCGCCCTTTCTGTGATATTGATGTGACCTGATTTTTTTGTCTTATCCTTTTTAACATCCTTCTCTATCATATTCCTCATATACTCTGTGTAATATTTGTATTAGTTGCTTTTATTTTAATGCTTTCTATGTGTAATAAAAAATTAAAATGAAGTAATGAATGGTGTTGACTCCAATATTTAATAAGTTGTGGACACATATATTGGTTATTTCCCCAGGAGTTTTATTAAAATCTGTCCGAAGGTTCGTTGGATATCTCGCAAAAACAATATCGCCGCTTCTTCGATCAGCAAGCAAGGATACGCCCGTACAAAATGCTGATGCAGTTTTTTTTTCTTCGTTTTTGTCGGTCTTAGTGTTTTTCTGATTTCTTGCCTTGTTGCATGATCTCGGTGTGTTGGCGAACGACGCACCAGCAACTGAGTGATTCATCTTTAGTAGAACGCTAATCAGATGGACCAGCAGTCTGGTGAAATAGACTTAAAAGTCGAGAGCAGAGGTTTGTGTTTCCTCATCTCCCACTGCTCATCTTTGCTGTGTGAGTAGTTATTCTGCATATTTTTTTATCAGTGCTGTCATTGTTTTATTTTTTTATCTGCATAAAACAATTATAAATTACAGGCATGGCATTACTTATCTCTCATTTTGTGTATGTTATAGCCATTTGTCATGTTGGCAAATAGCTTTATTGGCCATCTTGACTACAAATGTCAGTTCCAGTGACTTCTTCCTGAGAGTTTTCTTTAAATTCATCCAATGTTTTACCAGATATAACATTAGCGCTCCGCCTTCAACGGATGGTAATAAACATCAGCAGAGCCAGAGAGGACTCACCCGCCTGGGAAGCCCAGCAGACCATCGAAGCGCATCTGCATCTGTAGGAAGTGACAGGTTCTGTTAAACACTCAGGGAGATACTCAGAAATATGTGGGGTTTCTATTACACAAGCACAACTGTGTACAAGGATTTCACTTTGGACTGCACACCAGCTGCACACACACACACATATAAAGTCACACAAATGGTGCTCACCAGCACAATGTGCTTGATGGGAGTTCTGCCGAACAGCTGAGATTTAGTGTCAGAGTAGAGCATCACGTGGCAGGCATGCTTGCAGTCTGTGCAAGCCAACGCCTCCTCCCTGGACAGCTGTCCACTTGCCATCTATATAAGCAGATATAACAAAAACAGAGCAGAATCACACAGTTGCAGTTCTGTAGCTAACTGCTCAAAATGGATGGATGTGTTATGCCAATAAGAGATCGCGCAACTTTACTGGTTCCTTTTATCTGTTCTCCTTTCGTAATTTGCTGAGTTAAGGGATCTCAGTGTTGTTCAGCTTGAAAATCCCTGAATTTAAAGTAAAGAGGAAGCTTAAAGGAAGCTGTTAGAGGCTTGATTTAAATGATCTCTGGCTCCCTCTTCTGGTGTGGAGCAGATTTACTTATTTCCGAAATATTTCACAGCAGAATATTTGGTTTTTACCTATTTTTAATGCATTTTTTAAAATGATATTTGTAGACATTTTGATCATTGAAAAGCTGGTGGAAAATTTGTCAATATTTTACCTACAGCAAACGCAGCCGAGCTCTATTGTCGACATTTTTACAAAAAAGTTTCTATTATTTGATTGATTGATTTTATTAAGCAATAATATTGCATGTACATACACATCTAATACATTCATTATTAGTACTTCAATAACACAAGAAAGTGAGAATCACTTATTTCCATTGTGATCTTATATCTTTAAAAAACTGATAAAACCCACTCAGGGCTACTTTTACCTTTTTTAAACTCTAAATTGTGTTATGTAGTCACGTATTTAAATGGCTAAAGTAAATAATGTTATTATAGTATATGTTTTTCTAACATTTTGCTAGTTTTTGTCACACAGCATGTTTATATTCTCTACTTTAATCACAAAAATAGAAGTAATTGATTAAAACCTTATACCTTTATCTAATTTTAACAAAAAAAAACAGTAAAACTGATCAAATATAAAGTGTGACGTCCTGGATAAAGTGCTATCTCATCTTCAGTCAGCACAAATCAGCTCAACAATAATTTTCATTGTTTCGTGACGTTACCAGCTCTGATTGGTTCATCTGTTTCACACCGACCAATCAGCGGTGGCTTCTGCTGCTTCAGACTGACACAAGAAAATCGGATTCTTCAACTACAAAGAGGTAAAGGACGTCTTTTCCCATTTTCTTAAATATACAACAAAATAACGTCATTATCGATAGTCTTTAATAACGTCTTATCTTGTTACGTAACTATTTTTTTGTTTGTAGCGAATAACAACGCTGCTTGAAGCGGCTGATCACAAACAAAGTGTTTTGAGTTCCGAGGGTCTTTGAACATAGCACCAGGTTTTCACACACGAAGATGAAATCGTAACTCTCATTTTAAATCTGCTATATGTTTAAAATTGCGTATTGAAGCGAGTGTTTAGTTAAACATAATCAGATATAGGACGTCATTGAAACTTTTCGAGTTGGTCCCGAGCTAAAGCTGACTAAAGGTACGTAGCTAACAAGCTAACTCGTGCGTCATCACCTGCCAGTGTTTTGTGGCATTTCATTCTAGGGAAAGTAGAGAGATGTGTGTCAAGTAACAGCAGCCGACATAAATAAGCCTTATATGTTATTATAGGGGTTAGCGTAAACTTATTCAAGCTTTTAAGGCCAAGTAAACACACAGATTCTGTTCTCAAAAGTAGACAGTATTAGTCAGGTTTGTGTACATTATGATCATAAGATCAATGTCATTTTTTCGTCTTGGGAGAAAAATCCACCATACAGACAGGAATCCAGTCCTATTTAATTTCTAAACGATGTCAAATTAATTAATTGATAAAAGAAGAAACACATTAATTTGTGTTAAAACTAAGGAATGTATCTGTTATGAAAATATATTATTTTTTATGATTTGGAGATAGAGTATGTTTCACTCAGTTGTGTGTTTGTGCTGTTTTATTACAGATTCCATCTTGTTGTATTTAATTTCTGAACCAGAATGGCTCCAGGGATACCAGATGAGGTGATGATGGACGGTGCTCTGATAAAACAACTGGCAGAAGTGGCAAAAGATGAAGCGCTCCGGCTGGGAATTTTAATGAGGACCAAGGAGAGCCCAAACTCATCTGAGGTGCGATTTGCATAACTAATGCAAACCCCCATACATAACATTTTTACTGAAAACTGCATTATTGTCAATTCAAAAGATCTGGTTTCTGTTTTGAGGTAAACCCTGTTTAGGTCAAAACAAATTTGGACGTGAGAGAATTGTGATGTTTTGAAAAATCATCGCTGCCACTATAAATGTAACAAATCATGAAAGCCATGTTTGTTTGGTTTGTTCTTTGTTAACGACAGAACATTTAATCTGGTGGAACAGACATGTTTATTGTGCAGTTATGTCCGCTTTGGAGAACCAGATTTCCAATGGATCCACACTAATCCTATTTGTTATCTTTATCCACTTGTTCCAATTCATTCCTTACATGCCACATTCAATGACTGTGGTGAACAGATTTATTGTTGTCGACATGCTTTTTTTTCTTTAATCTTACAACTCTTTTTGCAGGTTGTGACCTACGCTCCGTTCACTCTCTTCCCTTCGCCTGTTCCCAAAGCCGTGTTCCTTCAGGCTCTTGCGGTGCAAACTCACTACAACACACTGGTGGATCGAATCAGTCAAGACGCAGACTTCCTGCAAGAGGCTTTAGCCAGGTAGGCTGCGTGAATATCTGGAGCAATGTAAAAGTTGAGTAGTTGCTCAAAAACAACTTTTACTAAAGATCACATCATCATCATTATAATAATAATAATAATTATTATTATTATTATATTCTCCTGTGCTGGTATTTGATAATATGTTAATTGTTAATTAAAATTCTTTGTTTTTGATATAATTTGTCATAATTCTAACTAAGTTTCTGTTTAATCTGTTTACAGCACTGTTGAAGTGGACGATTTCACTGCAAGGCTGTTCAAGATTCACCAGCAAATCCTGAAAGAAGGAGGGTCCCGGGTATGTTTACATACATTATCAAACTTATTTCCAACATAAAGTTTTGCTTTCAGAGGAAACAACACAAACGTCCAGCAGAAAAGCTACTGTTTCACTCAAAAGCAGCATGGTGTATCCTGCTACTGAATTTTTATCCAGATTATTCCAGATTGCCACTTCTGCTTTGTATAAGCAAAACTCCTTCAAGGCTGCTGTGATTATTGCGTAGATATTTCTTACAACTTCCCAAAACCCCGGCAGTAATATCTTCAACGTTGCCCAAAATAACAAATGTAAAGATTCACGTGATAATAATAAAAGCGTTGTAACTCTAAAGCTTTGAGAAACAGCGCTGGTTACTGTGCAAATAAGCATGAATACTTATTAGGTTTGTTGGGAGCAGTGATGGTCAGAACTGTCATGAACAGCTGCTGGGAGGAAGGATCTTTGTTAACGCTCCTTTATGCATTTATAGGGCCCTATAAAATCATTTTATTCATCCCCAAATTCCGTTTTTTTAAAGTTTTTATTTTTCTAAATTCCACTTTTTCCATTTTATCCCCTGAATGCCACATTTTCATTGTAACCATATTTATTCACCTAAAAAGTAAGTAATTATAAAGTGACTGAACAATAATTAAACAAATAAATAGCTAGAGAAATAAAAAATAATGTCTGTGTTACGGCCCATTGAAACACAGGAGGGGTCATAACACATTTAAAGGGATCCCCAATTAGTTGTAACAGACTTAATTTGATAAACATATTTTAACTATAAAATAAAGATTGTAAAAATACAGTAGGATGTTTAGTTTTTATAATTTGTTAACTAAAAGTTTAAAAATATATTACATGGAAAGGGCCATTTTATTTACACGCAAAGCATTCTGGGTAAATAATGATGTCAACTAGGTCATTGGTGTGAGGCTGCTAGCGAGCTATATCCACCCTGAAGGTTAATCTTGGACAATATCTGATGATCGACTCTTTTAAATGAAACCAGAGAGC